TTTCGAATCGTGGACATTGAGAGGAAGTGGAAAAACGAGGAAGTGAGAAAAAGAATAGAGTGTGGGGCGAGAGGAAGAAAGTGGAGGGAAGAATAAAGGACAAAAGAGAGGGGGAGGGGGGGGAGAAATGTTGAGAAGGGGACGACGGGCGTCGATGGGGAGGAAAAGGGATGGAAGGACTTTAGAAAAAAAAAAAAGGTAGAAAAAACAAGGAATGTCGGAAGATGCAGAATGCTGACTGCTGGGATATCGTGATAGCGTTTCTCGAAGAACACTCGGATTCGATCAAATAAAACCGAAGAAAAGGAAGAAAGCGCGAGGAAAGAGAGTGGAAGATATCGAGAGCGAGGAAAATAGGAAGGAATAGAATGTAATGTTTGGAGATTGCGGCAACCTTTTATCGCAGTTTTGCAAAATATCCGGGCCGCCTGCCAAAGGTTCTTGCCTGATCTCTGGAGTCAAAAGAGGATGATGAATATTTGGTCTTGTGTTCTCGGGGACATGGGATATTGTTGAATATTGAGAACAGGATAAGGAAATTTTATCGAGTTAAATTTCATATCATAACCGAAGTGAAATATTCGACGATTTTTATTACTTGATTTTTAATTGAATAATACGTAATTGAAATTTTTTTTAGAAATTTCATAATGAAATAATTATATTATATATAACAAGATTGCTATATTGTATGCCACGTTTATCTTGTTTTGTCTCAAATAAATAAAAAAGTTAATAAAGTTAACCAGATAGTATCGGTAATTTTTGAATATGTTGAATTTGTAGAGTAATTGGTGAGACAAGGACAGAGATAGGGTAAAAATATTGAAATCAGCGCCATCTTCAGAGTGCCGCAAATGAAACACATGTATAAAGGACAGAAAACAATAAGAGAAGGATAGAGATAGGGCAAGACTTGACTATTAGCGCCATCTCTTGGTGTTCAAAACATATTTCTTCCAAAGAGATGTTCTTGATATTCAAGAGATGGCACTGTAACTCAATTCCTACTCTACCTTATCCTATATTTCTAGATTTACCTATCAACGCCATCTCTTGGTGTTCAAAACATATTTCTTCCAAAGAGATGTTCTTGATATTCAAGAGATGGCACTGTAGCTCAATTCCTACTCTACCTTATCCTATATTTCTAGATTTACCTATCAACGCCATCTCTTGAGTGCTAAAAACATTTCTTCCAAAGAGATGTTCTTGTTACTCGAGAGATGGCGTTGATTGTTAATTCTTATACTATCTCTATCCTTCTCTCAATATCTTCTGTCCTTTATACGTATGTTTCATTTGCGGCACTCTGAAGATGGCGCTGATTTCAATATTTTTACCCTATCTCTGTCCTTGTCTCACCAATTACAAATTCAACACATTCAAAAATTACCAATACTATCTGATTAACTGGTGTTTTATCTTATCCTATATTTGAAAGGGATAATTTTGATACTGAAAAAGATGACATTAATTGTTAAGTCTTACCTTATTTCTATCTTTCTTTCAATATTTTCTGTCTTTTCTATGTATGTTTCATTTGCGGCACTCTAGAGATGGCGCTAATATTTTTTCTATTTCCATCCTTCTTGCACTATTTGCTTTCCTTATTTATTATTTAGTTCTTTATTTATTTTATTAATTCTTCCACTGATGCCGATTTCTATTAACGTTATTGCATCATATTCAATTTATTAATTAAAAATCTTAATAGAATTCATTTCATTTAATTTTATATAACTCAAATATATATACAGTGTCTGAAAAATATGAGAACGTCAGCACTTAGAAATTTCTGAGATATCTTTAAACAATATTTTCCTTTACAAAAATTTCCGCTATAGTTTTGTTAACGAATTATTAATAAAAAAACATATATAATACAACATAATATAAAACATTGATCAATCATGTAGCATACAGATTAATCAAGTCATGATGATAGTATTAAATATATACTAGTTAAATACTACTCCAAAAAATACTAGTGTATGAAAAAAAGTCTGTTGAATATAACAAATATTTTTTTATCAAACAAAAATTATATCAAATTATATTTTATTCAGAAACAAAAAATAAACTAATTAATAATATTTAATTATTACACATATAGGACAAATCAAATTTATTCATTCAAAATAAATAATAAATAATGAAAAATTGTAATATGAAAAAATGAATATAAAAAATTAATTTTTAATAAATAAACGATAAATAATATATATTTAGAGAAAGGGAAGAAGAGGCAAAAATGATAAAGAAAGAGGAAAAGGACGATAATGATAAAGATAGAGAGGAAGAAAAGGATAATAAAGAAGATAATAATAAGAAAGAGAAGAATTATAAAAGAGCGAAGAAATTCTATACGAATGTTTTATACGAATGATATTAATTAATTAATTTGATTATTCTTGATTAAAATGATAATTCAATTTTTTCTCGAAAATATTTATTAAAAATATATTTTTTTTAACATGTTGCTTGGACTTGTTTAGCCAGTGGCATGTACCCAACACTACTATTGTAGTTTGACTAGTCTATACGCTTTATGATTAACCAATATTTTTTATTAATACTCGTAAGAAAAGGAAAATGTTGCTTGAAATTACCTCAGAAATTTCTAGTTATTCAATATTTCTACACTTTTGGAACAAGATTTTTGGGATATATAGATTTTATATATATAGATTTTTGAATTTTTATATATTGTATTTTATATTTTTGTATTTTAATGATATGTAATATCTTACATTCGTGAAAATAACCAAAAGAGTGAGGCAATGAGTATATTACTAAATATTAATATAAGATAAGGATACAAGTATATAATGTACAAAATGAGGTTAAACTAAGATACTTTGAAAAAAATAATAGATTATGAGAATTTCTCAAAATTTTTAATACTTTCACTTCTCTTACATATCAACAGAATTAAGAACTTTCTCTTTAAATATGTCCTCTGCGTATCAATTTTGTCATTTATGCAAATATTATATTTTATTTTTTAAATAAATGCAATAATTGAAAGAGTAATTTGAACATTTTAAATAGTTGAAAAATTTTTACATTAAAATTTTTATACGTTTTATAAAGTATTTTTTATATATTTACAAGAAAACAATATTTTCTATATTTTCTATTCAATATTTTAAATATCTATCTATACTATCTATCTATATCTATCTAATACAAATTATTAAGATATATATAAATTTAGCTTATTAGATAACATTAGTAAAATAAGTATTTGTATCATTTTATGTTTTTTCATTTATAATGTATTAAGAAAATATATTCGTTATGATGAAAATTCATTTATAATTTGTAAATGAATAATATTTATAAATTATAAATATCTTTGTAATTTGAATTCTACTTAAAAATGAAAATTTGTGTTTATTATATTTCTAAAAGAATAATTTCATTTACTTCCAATAACATAAAGATATTATTTTCTTATTTCTAATAATAAAATCTTTTTTTCTTTTAAATAAGTAATATAATATAGTAATTTAAAATTAACTATTTTCGTTAGAATCAGTCTTGAATTTTTTAAACGACATGCTCTTTCTTAAGAATAATATAAGAATAATAATACTTCTTGCACAAGGATTGAGTATATGCAATTTTCCATATTTTTTGTCAATATTTTATATTGACAACATTCCTCAATTACTATTAATAATATTATTACAGTATAATGAAATATACGTAATAGATTATTCCAAAAATGTAGGAACACCGATTAACTAATTAATTGTTATTCATATAGAACATTTAATAAAATTCCTCTACTCCATCATCTTTTTTTTTCTCTTCTTTTGTCATCCTGTTTTTCTTTCCTTTTTATCATCTTTTTCTTTCTTCTTTTTATTACTTTTCTCTTTTTTCTCTTCCCTATTCTTATCTTTCTTTTCGACTCTCGTTTATCATCTTCTCCTTCATCTTCTTTATCCCTTTTTTCTTTTCCTTTATCATCTCCCTCTTTCTCTTTTTTTTAATCATTCTTTTCTTCTTCCCTTTTTTCCCTTTTCTTTCTTCTTTATCATCCTGCTTTTCTACCTATTCTTTATCACTCTCTTCTTTCTTTTCTCCTTTTTCTTCCTTCCTTTCTTTATGACCAATCTTTTTCTTTTTTTATCATTCTTCTCGATAAAAAAATTTATTATTTTCTACAGTTTTTCTTCGATATTGTTTAGACTTGTTTGTATTCGGCCAACAGTACATACCCAACACTACTTTGATTATTCTACGAGTTCCATGAAACGCGTTGACCAACGTTTTTTGTCAATAACTCGTTAACAAAGCTTTAACGAAAGTTTTTGTAGGAAAATGTTGTTTGAAATTCGTTAAGAATCTTCAATCGATATTTCTAAATTTTTAGGATTCCTGTATATAATTAACATCTTAAATTTCATCTTATTAAATTTATAGTACATTTTCCACGCTTTCTGCCAGTGTCCTAATTTGCATATATGATTATAACTCGGTGTACTTTCATTTTTTTCTTCATTATCAATATTACATGGATATAAGAGAAACATTTCACAAGAAGAAAAGAAAGCGTTCATTCCCTGTACCTCTGTTTGAGTTTCAATTAGTCTCTGTTACTGATAAATAAAAGAAGAATACAGGTGATTTCGATACAAGTTGGGTGCCAAATTTTCACTCATCGGAGTTTCTAGAAGCATCTTGATGCACTTTCGCAACTTTCCATGAAACACATACATATATGTACATGTGTATATATATATATGCATCTTTCTTGATTCTAGGAAATGTTACTGGCTCAAAGAGAGAAAAGTGAAACATTGTATAAACATTTAAGATGAAAATTAATATTAGTTCAAAACTTGTAACATCACAAAGTAAAAATAATTTACAAAATCCATTTAACAGAGAACAATATAATATTATATATATATAATATTTATCAATATATAATATTTATCAATAATTCGTCTTCGTATCAAAATATCAAGTCAAATCATAAGTGCAAATAATTTCATCTTTAAAACCTTGTCCCCATTTATCGTTCCTTCGCTCATAATCGATGATACATAGCTTCGAACTCGTTCACCTTCCCTCCCAATCATCTATGAGTCCCCTAATTGTGTAACGAGCACCGATAGGTGAAAATGGTGGGAGTTGGTGGACGAAGACTACGACACTCGAAGAATCACCGTGCACACGATCAGTTCTTGTATCGCCACGGTTACGGCGAAACTCTTCTGTCGCGAGATGCTCGTGTCCATGCAAATGTTCTTGTTCACCGCACTGTTCCTCGGAGTTTTCGGTATCAACAGGGAACCCCACGGCCCGATCCAAGAAGCCATCCAGAATGGTGTCGCGGCGCGTTACAACAAGGAAAATTGCATCTGGAGACGAGGGAATGACAAAGATTCGTGCCCCGATCCGGACGTTCGAATCTATCTTTACACGAATGATAAACCGAGACGAGAACTCGACTCGAGGGAGTCGGATTGGCTGCGTCAGGACTATGATCCAACGAAAGAAAATGTTCTTCTTATACACGGATATGCAGGTGCATGAATATTCGTTTTACTCGATACACTTGGCCAGTAACAGAATAAAGAAAAGCGTTTTACCCATGTCTGAATTATTCGTTATTTAAAGGATGAATCAAATCTTATGTTCCATCTCCATCCTTTAATTTAACATTTGAACATTGCATGGAATATCCACTACACAATACTGACGAAACTTTTTCTTCTTTCTTCAGGTGGTGACGACACCCTGCCTATATCCGTTCTTCGCGACGCCTACATACGAAACGGCAGCTACAACGTGTTCCTGGTCGATTGGGGTGCCCTTTGCCCGTCACCTTGTTACCCGGCAGCCGTATCGAATCTTCGTCCAGTTGCTCGTTGTCTCGCAGCCAGCCTGACCACCTTACGAAACCTGGGTCTACCTATCTCGAGGACAACCTGCGTGGGACACTCGTTAGGCGCCCATATCTGCGGGATTATGGCGAACTTTCTACTGTTCAGGATGCACAGAATAATCGGTTTAGACCCGGCTCGACCCCTCGTACGTCCTGGATACGTAAATCGGTTGGACAGCGGTGACGCGGACTTCGTCCAAGTGATCCACACGAACGCCGGATATTACGGGGAGGGTGGGCGCATGGGCCACGTGGATTTTTGCGTGAACGGTGGAAAAGTGCAACCATTCTGCGAGAACAAACCGAATTATCAACTGTGCAGTCACGTCTGGGTCGTTTGTTACATGGCAGAGAGCATCGACAATGGGGGCCAGGATTCGATGGCCGAGCCGTGCACGAGGAGGTGTCCTTCCGGACCGAGAATCGCTCTCAGAGCCGGCGAATATGTGACTATGGGGCAGCACACACCGCTCGGAACCAGGGGCTCTTTTTGCTTCACCAGCAAGTATCCACCTTACTGTCCTAAATATAGGAACGGGCACGGTGACGAGAGATGTTGCGTACCGGAGGACAAGCCTGTCACGTTCTAGTGACAACGAGAAAGTTATTGTAAGTTATTGTAAGAAGGATACAAGATGCAAGACTGTACATAAAATATAGTGGAATAAGACGATTCTCGTAACAAGAATTAATGTAAATTATTAATGGACGGTATTCATAAATTGATATTTTCTTGTTTTGTATAGAAACATTCGAGCTAATTATTCGTACCAAGTTTTAAAATGTGAAGAAAGAATATTAAGAAATTTGAATTTGTCATCAGTGAACATAGAAGCATGTTTATAACATCGTTTTATAACGTTATCATTAATAAGACAATCAGAATAAACTCGTTAGCTAAACAAATCAAAAAAATATATAAAATCATTTTTTAATAATTAGGAATACCAGTTAACACAAGACACTCGGTATTTATCCAAATGGAAAATGATCATACTACTCACGGTTGAAAGATACGCATGTCGTTTGTACTACGAATCAATTAATATTTTAAAAAACTGTGTGTGAATAGTAGTCCAGATCGTTGCTTAAGCATGAAGCAGGTGTCCGAGGACAAGTGGATCTTCGTACGGTATCGCGACGCGTGTAGTCCAATTCCGGAACATGATTGCGTATTCAGCCGCGGTATATACCGCCCGGAAAAATCTTGCGTTCGTGATCTACCGACCTATCAATCCCGTTAACCGCTCCACTGAACCTCCTATAAATGTATTCATGACAATGTCCACCGAGCGGACAACTGTTTTGTCAATCTTACCTTGCGAAGCGTCGTTGTGCAACCGATTGTTCCAATGATTTGCACGTTCGTGTAATGCTCGTGTAACGATAACCAATTTCGTGATAAAGTTGCATAACGTTTCTAATTTGTTGCTTAGAAATAGCAGTTTCGAGATCTTCCGATATTATACATCTGCAAATTAAGAAACATTGTTAGAAGAAATTATTAATGAAAAATGTGTTCATTCTCTTACCTTTTTCAATTTTTTGTTATTTATTTCGACAAAGTTTGCTTCTTCTAATTGTTTTATTATTAGGAAATTCTTCATATAGCTTTAGTTTAAAGATCTTTCTTTTTTTATCGTTTTTAAGTTAGTATCTTATTCTTAGAATGATTTTTATTAAAAGATTCGAGAATAATGTGGTGAATAATGATCTTTCTTTATAAGAAATTAATATGTACTTACTCATTGTACGATGTCTAATGTAGCATATGTAAAAAATAAATAAAACAAAATAAAGCTGAATATTTTCACTTTCTCGATTCTTTTTCTTTAATATCCAATATTTTAATTGTTATAATAAAAACAATTTCAAAAAAAATCCAGATCCAGAAAATTCAACGAACCATCTGTTTCCGTTCTTCTAAACTTTCGACCGATTTCCTTATTGCAAGTGTTGTTCAAGTGCTTCGCATTCTCACGATTTGTCCGATGCACAAGTGCAGTGGTTCAGAGACATTACAATGTACAAACAATTTCTCCAAGAACTTAAATGAAAAAAAATAGAGTGAATATCGAAAGATGTTATTGCACGGAAGCTCGTCGACAAATCCAGACATCATCGAGTAGGCGACGAACCGGCGCCCCACTGTTCCAAAAGTGTTTCGGGAGACATCGATACCAGAAGTTGCCAAGATCCTTGGAAAGGCGACACATAGACGCGACACGATCCTCGACAACAAGAACTCGTGTCTCTACAGATATTTCCTCTTGAGGGCAGCGGTTTTTGAAATTTGTTTAATAACTCGGCTATCAATACGTTCCAAAGATCTTCCGCGTTACATGATGAAAAACATTGACCCTGTTTCAAGGCCGTCTTCGGGGAGGAACGTTCGATTCAATGTCACAAGCATTTCTTTTTCTCAATGAAAAAGCTAATTTATTTCAGAATTAATATATGTAAATGAAGTACGACAAGACATTTGTCAAGTTAATTTTCATTATAAATTCACAGATACGTATTTAAGATTTGATTTGAATATAAGATAGGACTTGTCAAGCTATATTTCCGTGCAAATTTTATCGATATATATGTTTAATAGATATTCAAGGTGTTATTTAGAGTTATATTTCAAATAACAAGTAATTTTTTAAAAATAAAAATTGGAAAAGATTAATGAATAATAAAATGTTACGTCACATCTTCGTATAAAAGGTAATTTATTATAATGATAACGAGTAGAAAATTATATCGATTAGATTTAAATCTATCTTAAGTAACGAAATAATATCGATAAAAATATTTTGGTATTCGAACTAGCGTAATATATAGAGTGAATAAGTAAAAATATGCACAAATAAATGCTTCTCTTTGATTGACAATTATATAAAGGATAATACAGCGTTTGTAATACTGTCAGACTCCCATTTTTTCGTGTGCTCATCGTTACATTTTCAGGAGCATATTTCAGGAACCATTCTTAATAATAATTATTATTATAAATATAATAATTATTCGTTTATTCTTTTCATAAGGCACTAGATTGTACTTATTTACATTCATTTTTATATTTAATTAGGCGCTCGTATATTCGCTTATTTCAAGCACTTGTTTCCATTCAAAAAATATATTCTTCATTCTTTCAATTATATTATATTACTGTTCAATTAAATCATTTCATAAAAATTTCGTTATTCTTATTTCATTACAAAAATTCGATGCATCGATTATAAAAAACTTTCAATGTAATCAAGAATTTGTTTAAAATATCTTTGGTCCTCTATTAACGATTTACTAAGAATATAAGTGAAATTTTAAATATATCTTATCACTTAAGAAGAAAGACATTCTTTTCTTTTTTATTTTTTACAATCTGTACACAGTATATATATATATATTCTTTCCAATCCTATTTTATTCGCTTCAACATGACTGATGATGCAACTAAATCAAATAACACGTCTTATTATATAAACTTCGCTCTCCACTGTTTCTAATTTCTTTGGTTCATCGACACAAGATTCGAATCACGCAATGGAAATATCCTTTCAGCGTACTTTTTTTCGTCTTATAAATAAGTTATTTCACGCATCGAACAAATCTGTATCGAACCACATATTTCATCTAATTTGTCGATGAAATTTCGTAAATTGTTTCATCCATTGGTACGATAACTTCGTGAGTCTGGATTCATCATCAAGGAGGGATAAAACAGGCTAAAATAATACATGGGAAAATTTAAATCGTAGAATCTGGGCGATAAGTTGAACGACGAGGTGGACGAAATCATGGGCGAGGAAAATTGTGGGGAAGAATCGACCCATGGCCTGTGCAATCTCGGTTGCGCCTCTCGATCGACGTCCTTCGACATCGGTGAATTTCTGTTTCCAGATAAGAGAAGGGGTGGACTGACTCCTCCACAGCTACTAATCCCGCTGTCATCCAGACTTCCTGTTTCGCTGGAGGCTGTTCTCGGTCTTTGATTGGCTACATCCAAATGATTCGACGCTCGGATGTTCGATTCAGATTCCGGAAACACGGTCTCATCCTCGTCGTTGATGCGACTCAATCTCTCCGCTTCCGCCTGAAACTTTCTCTTGCATCGAGATTGACCATTGTCCCGGAATCCCTTCGCGAATTTATTGTTGTTGATTTTCAATTTGGTAATGTTTTCGTTCTGAAATAATAAATATGCGAGATTGTATATTTACGAATTAAATTAATTAAATTATACACAAATTCTTTTTTAATTTTGGAATTATTTTTTGATACATGGTTGATACCTGATAAGCGGTTACGGCAATGAACTCGGTTTCGCAAAACTTAAACGACGAGGCTGGTTGACTATAAAGATCGCTGATTCTGGTCGCATCGTCGCAACGAATGATCCAAATTCGTGGAATATATTTATGCATAGAAGTCAAAACAACCTGTAAACAAAAATCGTTAAATTAGAGCTAAAATAAATAAAAGAACATATTCTCGGATATTGTATTGCATTTTTTGAAAAAAAAAGTCGTCGATACATTTGGAATAGCGCGCAAAGTTAGCGGAGATTCCCGCTTTTTTATCGCAAGGAAGAAAACATTCCCTTCATTCGGACAACGTACAGCCGGTAGAATTTTATTAAATTCGTAATTAGTTTGAAGAATCGGCTAAAAGGGCGCCGCTTCGTCGAGATAAGTTGGCGCCTTGCTAAGGATGCCGACGACGATGGAGACAGACGCGATTCTCGAAAACCAGACTGGCCCTTCAACCTTCCCGGAATCACACGCTCTCGACCTATTCAAAATCCTATATAAATCCTGCATGGTAGATATTTCGTTACTTCATTGATAGATATAACTGTCCATCAATGTTCAAACTTTCATTTCCATATTTTACTTTTCTTGCCACGTCGATCAATAATCGATGATCTATTGACTTTTTTCTTTTTTAATTTGAAATCCACCGCATTTTAACAGAATGAAATTGATAATAAAATATTGATAATAAAAAACAACGTAGTAAAAATTTAAAATTAATAGAAGGAACAGCGAAAAATGAAAAATTCTCGAAGAAGAAAAGAAGAACCATCGTCGAAAGAGGACCGCGTGCGGTATCTTTTCGTTTTAATAATCAGTGCCCAGGTATTAAAGGTGACGCAGATCCGCATAAATAATTTCCAGGATATTGGTGAAAAATTGAAAGAACTAGGGGCGCCATAGGGTAAGGCAGCTGGCCAGGATTCATCCTGTCGAGGCATAAACAAACACATTCGTCGAGAGAAAGGGAGGTATATCGATTACAGGGTGTCGTGGAGCGTGTTAATCTTCGTTCTTCACGGACAACAGGCAAAACCGACGTACCCAGCACCGTTTTGAGTAGCTTAAGTCTCGGGAAGGTAAGTGCACGCGGCATCTTCCATTTTCCCTTCAAGATTTTAATCCCAACCCCGGCTCTCGTGCGCCGAGTTTGGTCACTTTACCCAGTTAACGAAGCCTCCTGTTATTTCGCCGACCTAACGCATTAAGAAAGGAATATGGGTTGACTCATGTCGGAAAAAAAGGACGATGTACATTTGGCCAGGTATAAAAATTATCGATGCTACATATTTGTGAGATGATTTGGCAGAATGAAAGAAGAGGAGAAATT